GAATTGTCTGCTTAGGCTAAAGAGCGATAAACAATTTGATTGGTCAAGACTTTGGAACATAACAACTCTGCTTTTAATTGAGGTAGAATGTTTAAACTTGATGTAGATGTTCATTTGGTGATTGTCTTGACTGACTTCAAGGATTAACATTTCGAGCTAAAGCTAAGCAGAGCTAAGAAATTTCATTGATCGATGCTTTGGGACAAGATAACTTTGATTCTATCTGATAGAGAGTGATGATACTTGTTGTATAGTTGATAATCAGTTTGATTGCTTGATACTTTTGAAAAAAATATATGTGCGATTAATTAATGTATCATCTATTTATTTTGTTATTTCAGCGGTTAAACATACACTATGCAAGAGCTAAATCTGAAATGTTAAATAAACTATTAACTAGACATTTACTAACAAAACAAGACCATAATCGACTCTCGATGGCATTGGATACTCGAGATTTTAACTAGATTAAAACGGTTCGCCATTTAAAAATTTACCACTGTGCACACATCTTGTCAAAACTATAAACAATAATAACTTAGCTGAGAATGAAGTAATTTGAATGAAAGTTTGAATATTTTCTTTTTTTATCACAAGAATGAACAACTCTTTATTAACTCTTAAAGATACATTATGGGAGATTCGGTAACGAGTTGGCAGTTCTCACTATAATAGTTAAAAACTAGATAATGTAAAGGCAATTTGGTGAAAATTTCATTCAAATTGATCCACTATGAACCGAGAACTAAGCGACTGAAATTCCCATAAGCCTCGGTCATCATTACTAAAGTCAGTACGATAAACAGCATAGTCTCGATTATCCATTTAATCGTTTAATAGAGAAGGAAAGTTATGCAGTAAATCGGCTTACAATCCACTAAAGATCGCAGGCTAGCGCTGCCATCTAGAGTTGATTATGGCCTGGATAGGTTAATTAATGTCTAATTAATAATTTAGATAACATTTCAGGCCGAAAGAAAGACCTGAAATAGGCAGATTTACCTCTTGCATAATGCATGTTTAACTAATGTATCTTTAATAATATATAATTCTCGCTAGAAAACCAAACTATTCTAATCACGGCGCTAAGGAACTTATTTTTATACGCCACATTGAAAAGTGGTCGTATATTGTCGTCACACCCGTCCGTCGGTCCGGCGTCCACAATTCGACACAAACTAGGTCATTTCGGGACTAACACACGGTTCAATTTTATTTCAATAATTCGCTTGCGCGTAGGGATCCTCTATCAGTGTGAGGAAACCGGAGGACCCGGAGAAAACCCACGAGGTTGAACAGGCGACCCTACTCCTTGTCACGTACGACTGGGGAATCGAAACCACGCTAGTTGAATCGATGACAGACCTTATGATACAGCGCGCACGTCCTAACCATTCGCCCATCCAACCACCCGGACGCTCTAGAGGCTAAAGTTAGTATCCGATTGACAGTGTTTAAGGTCGTGAGACGAAGAATCCTATTTATTTTCAACGATATCCGATAATTACTGCCAGTGTTATGACCCTTGATCGCTTTGAAATATCCTGTGGACACTCTAGTGGCTAAAGTTAATATCCGATTGACTTTACGTTAATACACAGTGTTTACGGTCGTGAGACGAAGAAGCCTATTGATTTTCACCGATTTCCGATAATTACTGCTCGAGTTATGACCCTTGAAACGAAAAATTCTATTGATTTTCAACGATATCCGACAATTACTGCCAGAGTTATGGCCCTTGATCACTTTGAAATATCTTCTGGACGTTCTAGTGGCTAAAGTTAATATCCGATTGACGTTACGTTTATACACAGTGTTTACTATGGCAAGCCAAAGCGGAATTAATTGCAAGACCGTTTTTCTGTATGGAAAGAGAAAAAATCGAGTATATAACAATTTTTTCATCACCTTTCAAGCATTTTTTTCTGTACAAAACGACGTATATCAGTAAAGATTATTTTTTTCCACTGCTGCTCTTGTATTTTGTTATAGTCAAGTCAATTACAGAAATATTTTATCACTATATTCGGTTTTTATAAACAATTCAACAAAATTATTTTTCACATGTCAAGACAAAAAAATACACAAGTCAAGACGAAAAAATTCACATGTCAACACTAAAAAATTCACATGTCAAGACGGAAAAATTCACAAGTCAGAAAAAAATCATATATCACGAGCACGTGACCCTTCAAGAGCACGTGACCCTTCAAGAGCACGTGACCACAAAACCGATGACGTCATCAACTTTGTCCTCTACCCTGTTCAAGTCGAATGTGTCCCATTGTGCGCCAGCCTCAGCAGCAAAACGCGGAAGGGATAAAAAAAAAAAATCTGGATGAGGTGTTCTCCGTGACATGTTTAATGCCAAAAAATTGGCCAGAAATAATGAAAAGCAACCATCTTTGTTTTCAGTGACGTCATGGTTTTTGTAGTCACGTGCTATTGAAGGGTCACGTGCTCTTGAAGGGTCACGTGCTCGTGATATATGATTTTTTTTTCGTCTTGACATGTGAATTTTTCCGTCTTGACATGTGAATTTTTTAGTGTTGACATATGAATTTTTTTCGTCTTGACATGTGAAAAATAATTTTGTTGAATTGTTTATAAAAACCGAATATAGTGGTAAAATATTTCCATGAACAGTATAAATTGACTTGACCATAACAAAATACATGAGCAGCATTGGAAAAAAATAATCTTTATTGAATTTTTATCCGTCGTTTTGTACAGAAAAAAATGCTTGGAAGGTGATGAAAAAATTGTTATATTATACTCGATTTTTTCTCTTTCCATGCAGAAAAACGGTCTTGCAATTAATTCCGCTTTGGCTTGCCATAGTTTACGGTCGTGAGACGAAGAATCCTATTGATTTTCACCAATTTCCGATAATTACTGCTCGAGTTGTGGCCCTTGATCACTTTGAAAAATCTTGTGGACGCTCTTGTGGATAAAGTTAATATCCGATTGACTTTACGTTTATACTCAGTGTTTAAGGTTATGGGACGAAGAAGCCTTTTGATTTTCAGCGATTTCCGATAATTTCTGCCAGAGTTATGACCCTTGATCACTTTGAAAAATCTTGTGGACGCTCTAGAGGCTAAAGTTAATATCCAATTGACTTTAAATTTATACACAGTGTTTATGGTCATGAGACGAAGAAGCTTAGTGATTTTCAATGATTTCCGATAATATCTTGTGACGCTCTAGAGACTTATGTTATCATCCGACTGACTTCATATTGATAGACAGAGTTTAAGGTCTTGAAACGAACAAGTATATTGACTTTCAATGAATTTGATATCTTGAACAGTTAAATCCATGATATTAAATGTTTCGTATGCTAAACATTAGCATGGGACAGAATTTTATAAAAACCCTAATAATGATTTTCTGATAATTACTTAATGAGTTGTTACTCTTAATCAGATTTTAGTGTATTATAAATGTTTCATTACTGAAAAAAGTAAAAATATGCGACAACTCCTGTTGACTGCCCGGACGATTTAGTTGCTGTGGGCGTATGTTTCGTTGCCTGGCAACCTATCTTTAAATCTTATGTTGCCCCGTGGTGGATGTCAACCTCGCCGTAGATATGTTGCGCCCCGCCTTTCGAGAAAAGCAGGGGACTATTAAAATGGGTTCGTCTATCTGTCTGCCCGTCTGTCTGTACGTCCGTCCTGTCTGTCTGTCTGTCCGTCACGCTTTTTGGGACACAATAAATCTCCTTCCAAGTGAGCTAGAATGTTTAAACTTGATGTAGGTGTTTATTAGTTCAATGCCTTGATGGAGGTCGAAGATGAGCATTTTCTGCTTAGGTTAAAAAGAGATGAGCAATTTGATTAGTTGATGCTTTCGGACACGATAACTTTAGTTGGTGTATAGTTTCATCACATCAATACTTAGGCTAAGTTTGATAATAAGCATTTTCGGCTCGGGATAAGCAGAGTAATAAGTAATTTGATTAGTCGAGACTTTAGAACTCGACAACTTTGAGTGATAGTGGTGAAACTTCGTGTATAGTTTCATTACATCAATATCTTAACAAAGTTCGATACTGAGCATTTTCTGCTTAGGCAAAGTAGAGCCTTCAATCTAATTGAGCTAGATAAGCAGGGATAAGCAATTTGATTGGTCAAGACTTAGGAACTTAATTGAGTTATAGATTTAGGCGAAGGTCTTGACTGAGTTAAATCATTGATATTTCCGGTTAAAGCTAAGCAGAGCTAAGCGATTTCATTGGTCGATGCTTTGGGACAAGATAACTTTAATTCTAACTGATGGAGTGTGATGAAACTTGCCAGGTACTTCAAACCCTAACTGAGTTTGTTCGTGAATAATTTATGCAGGCTAGAGTTAGGGTTAGTTTTTTTTCGGTGTTTTCCAGAGGACCAGGCTCCAAGTTACCTATTTAGAGTGTTTTACGGTATTTAGTGTGTTTTCCGGTATTTAGTGTTTTTCCGGTGTTTTCCGGTATTCAGTATAACATAGTGTTTTTCGGTGTTTTCCGGTATATAGTATAGCTCCTTTGCTGTTCAGTTTCAGTTATAATGCTTCCACTAAAGAATAAAATGCGACTGCCTTTATGAACTGTCCGGATGACATAACTGCCGTCAGGCTATGTTTTGTTAGCTGGCAACCTCTGTAGTAAATATTTTGGGCTTACCAACACATTTAAAGGAACTCTCCCACATGGGGTTAACGTCTAGTGGAAACAAACCAGGTAATTTTGGGACTATCACATGCTACAATTTTTTATTTCAATAATTTGCTTGTGGTGGTGTTCTTTAGCAGTAGGAGGAAACCGAAGTTCCCAGGGAAAACCCATAAGGTTGGGCAGACGATCATCTTTATGTCACGAATACGCTTGCGATCGAAACATCAGTTGGACTCAATGACAGACCTTGTCATCAAAAGCTCGCGCCTGTGACCACCCTTTCGTTTACCTGGATTTTTTTTTATACAACCACATGCAACAATATTATTATTTTATGTTACAGAATAGCAGTATGGATTCCACTACATGTCCTAATCGTGTCATCCTGTGGGCAATTCCAAGATCCCTATCCACAGCATTTGTTAGGTGTATGGAAAGGGTTCCAAACACGAAGATCATTTTTGAACCATACTCTAGTGCAGATCATTTTGGTCCTGAAGGTCGATTGCGGGCTATTGATGAATTACCACCAGAACCAGAATGGACCTTTCAGGCAGTTAAGGATCATTTAGAAGAAGATCATAGCGACTCCGATCTTGTGTTTGTTAAGGATATGGCTTATGCGGTCGATGATAAATACGAAATGATTGCTTCGGGATATCAGCATACGTTCATCATTCGCCATCCTGCTAAAATGTTTGTCTCGTATTACAAAAGTATATGTGATGGCAATTCGAATGATGAAGAAGATATCGACGAAATCTTCGATAAGTGGTTGCCTAGTGGGCTTTGTTACCGGGAGCTGTTCGATCTCTACGAACACATTATCAAGTCCGGGTCGTCAGAGCCCTTAATCATTGACGCGGATGATCTTATAGAAGATCCCGAATCAATCATGAGTTTATATTGTAGGGGCGTAGGGGTTGGTTTTTCGGACTCTATCTTGAAATGGGGGGTTGGGACAATAGATAAGTGGTCGGTTTCCCAGGTATTATGGGATGTAGCACCAAGCTACAAATGGTTCGATAATAGCATGAAAGCAGGGGGGTTCCAGAAGGGGGTAAGTAAACCGATACCTAATTTTTCGGATTTGCCCAATAAAATTGTCGATTGTATTGAAGCCTCAATGCCCTTTTACGAGAGCTTGTATAGGCAGCGAATACAATCACCGGGAACAAACGAGTAAGCTCTGCTGAGCTTCTGGGTCATATCTCTTCGCTGTTCATTTCGTCTTAGGTACAAGGTTATAACGTAGTAACGGACTTTATAATTCTATCAGTCGCAGGCCAACCTAGATATTATTAATGCTTTTACTCATAATAGATATGTGAGTTTAAAAGGCATGGATTATCCAATATTACTATAGGAAGTCGTCAAAAATTAATAATAATATAGTGTGCGTGCATTTAATTCAGATTACACTCAATTATAGTTTAATGTGATAGCGCACTTTATTAGGTGACTTAATTTATCTTAATACGATCTATGCGTTTAATTCATATTAAATTAATGTGATACGCATAACTTATAGGATTTAATCGGAATTAAATACAATTGTGCTCAAATATACATAAGAATTAACTCACGTTAGATAAATAATGACAGTGTGCTTTATTTCACTAAATCTACAATGACTTTCATGCGTCTGATTTTAAGGACGCTCATGCGTTTAATAAATGTGGCCGAATATAAAACATTAATAAATCTACTAAGCAAACAGTCCAACGCAGGAGCGTTTCGAAATAGTGTACATGGGTATTGAGGAAAGATTTTTTCCAAAATAAACACTTTAATCCTGATACCACACGTGATCATATTAATATATTTATACAATAAATAGCTTAAGTCTATGTATCCCCAGTAGCTCAAGAATAGTAAACTTTAAAACAGTTCTGCTATGGAATTCTTATTATCACAAGATAAAAGTTTCATCCAATTCTGATCATTGCTTTTGAGATGTTTTTTTTTTAATTTGGAAATGAATAGGGTATTTTAATTTTGTATTACTAAAGTTTCGTTATATTCACACTTGTCCGAGCCCAAAACAACCCACCTTATTGCATTAATATTATTTTTTTAAAATATTTATTTTAACAATATTCATTCTTCTACATTCATCAGAACTAATTTAAAGTCTTATGTATGATTACTCATCTTTCTTAGAAATCATTGTGGTGTGGAAAACATACAAACTTCAAACATTGTCTTGAGCTACTGGGTCGAAAAGTATACACATATCTTAAATTTTTGTACGCCCACATGGAAATGTGGCCGTATATTGCCGTCGCACCCGTCCGTCCGTCAGTCGTCCACAATTTCTTGTGAACACTCTACAGACTACATTTATCATTTGATTGTTTTGAAATTGATGTATGTTGTTTGCATTAGTGAGATGAAGAAGTCTATTTAATTTCAATAACTTCTGTTAATTTCTTCTTGAATTATGGCCCTTGTTGTTTCACTTTGTTGCACCTTGTGAACGCTCTAACGACAAATGTTATCAACCGATCTGTATGAAATTATATGCATCATTCAAATTAGTAAAACAAAAAATCCTATTGAATTTCAGCAATTTCCGTTAGTTACATCTAGAGTTATGGCCATTGGTTCACTTTGTTGAATCTTGTGAACGCTCTAATGACATCAGTATTATCCGATCTATTTAAAATTTATATCCATTATTTAAATTAGTGAAATGAAGAAGCCTTGAATTTCAGCAATTTCTGTTAATTGCGCCGTGAGTTATGGCCCTTGTTTCACTTTGTTGTACCTTGTGAATGCTCTGACGACAAAAGTTATTTATATGTATCGTTTAAATTAGTAAAACGAACAAGCCTATTGAGTTTCAGCAAATTTCCGTTAATTACCGTTATGGCCCCTGTTTCACTTTGTTGAATCTTGTGAACGCTCGAACGACAAAAGTTATCAACCGATCTGTATGAAATTATATGCATCATTCAAATTAGTAAAACAAAAAATCCTATTGAATTTCAGCAATTTCCGTTAGTTTCATCTAGAGTTATGGTCCCTGTTTTACTTTGTTGAACCTTGTGAACGTTCGAACGCCAAAAGTTATCATCCGAATGCATTATTTGAATTAGTAAAACGAAAAAGCCTGTTGAATTTTAACAATTCCTGTAGATTACTTCCCGTGTTATGGCCCTTGTTTTAGTTTTAAGAACCTTGTGAACCCTCAAACGACGAAAATTATAATGTCATCTGTATGAAATTGTCTATTAAATGCCCTTAATTACCTACAAAAGAATAAATATGCGACAACCCTTGTCGACCGGTCGGACGATTTAGCTGCCGTGGGCGTATGTTTTTTGCCTGGCAACCTATCTTTAAACATATTCAGTCATTTGATTTTTCATTCAATTAAAATGAGAACGGAGACGTGGCAGTCTATTTAAACAAAACATTGATACAATTTCACTTTATTCCAAATTATATTAGTTTCCTTTAATGTAAAACTAAATTTGGCTTGATAGTTTCTTTAAATGATTTATGAAGATTGAAAAAAAAAAAAAAAAAAAAAAAAAAATGATTTAATTTAAAGAGACTGCTTCTATCATATATTTTAATTCTATTTTGTGGACTATCGGTACATCATATCAGTCAGTTGTTTTTAGTCCTCATAAGAAACAGATCTTAGTTCATTTTTAAAGGCCTACATGGAAATGTGGACGTATACTGACGTCGCCCCCGTCCATCCGTCCGTCTGTTGGTCCGTCCGTCGTCCACAATTTCGTGTGATTGCTCTAACGCCAAAAATTATCATCCGATTGTTTGAAATTGATATATATTGTTTAAATCAGTAAAAGGAAGAATCCTATTGAATTACTTATAGATTTATAGCCCTTGTTTCACTGTGTTGCACCTTGTGAGCGCTCTATCATCTAAAAGTTATCTGCCAATCTGTATGGAATTGATATATGTTGTTTACATTAATGAGATGAAGAATCCTATTTAATTTCAATAATTTATGTTAATTACTTCTAGAGTTATGGCCCTTGTTTCACTTTGTTGAATCGTGTGAACGCTCTAACGTCATCCGGTCTTTGTTAAATTCATAGGCACCATTTAGATTAGTGAAACCACGAAGCCTAGTGAATTACAGCAATTTATAATAATTACCTCTAGAGTTATGGCCCTTGTTTCACTTTGTTCAGCCTTGTTAATGCTCGGTTGATAAAATTTATCATCCGATATGTATGAAATTTATATGCATCATTTAAATTTTCTGAAACGAAGGTCTATTGAATTTCAGCAATTTCCGTCAATTGTTTCTGGAGTTATGGCCCTTGTTTTACTCTGTGAACCTTGTGAACGTTCGAATGACATAAGTTATCATCCGATCTGTATGAAATTTATATGCAGTATTTAATGTAGTAAAATGAAAAAGCCTGTGAAATTTTAAAATTCTCTGTAAATTACTTCCAGAGTTAAGGCTCTTGTTTCAGTTTGTAGAACCTTGTGAACCCTCAAACGACAAAAATTATCATCTGATCTGTATGAAATTGTATTGTAAATGCCCCCAATTACCTACAAAAGAATACATATGCGACAACACTTGTCGACCGCGAGGACGATTTAGCTGCTATCAAATCACCAAACACTTCAATAAAGCATAAATATGTGACAACACGTCTTGTCGACCGCGCGGACGATTTAGCTGCTATCAAATCACCAAACACTTCAAGGACAATATTGATGTCAGCCATTATTACATGTGACAAACCCGGTTAAACACATTCCAAATATAATTTTAACACAGTGATCATCGCTACGCTAGATGTGTAACAAACACTTGAAGAAACGGGAGTGACGACCAAAATGACAAACACGAGTTATAACTGACTGAAGTGACGAACGATAACAGATAACTCGGTCGAATTTTATTGCACTGATAATTCCGTTGAAAATGAACAGTTGTTATATGAGACGGGGAGAGGGTATCTGAAAATTCAAAAAAAGAATTGGCTGTCACTAGATAAAGGAAACGAACAAATTAGAAAAAATCAGTTCATTATCATGTTTTTATTAAGTACAGGGTAAGGCGCTGGTTCGCTAGCCTGGAGGTCGCATGTTCGGTCCCTGCATTGGCCGAGAAAGTTCATCGGGATTTTCCGATGTGGTTTACCCTTGTCAGTGGTGCAGGATGGAGGGCCTGACAAGGACAGCTGTCTAATTGTTCGGATGGGACAAAAAAAACCGAGTCTCGTGTACACATTGGCGTGCAGGTAAAAGATCCCTTGGAGAGAGAGGGAGAAATGGGGTTTAACGTCCACTCGACACAAACTAGGTCATTTCTGGACTAACACATGGTTCAATTTTATTTCTATAATTCGCGTGCGCGTAGGGGTCTTTAGCAGTGGGGGGAAACCGGAGGACCCGGAGAAAACCCACGAGGTTGGACAGGCGACCCTACTTCTTGTCACGTACAACCGGGGATTCGAAACCACGCCAGTTGACTCAATGACAGACCTTATGATACGGCACGCACATGCTAACCATTCGGCCACCCAACCCCCCAAAATCCCTTGGTAATTGGAATTCGATATAAGAGTAGACCATAGTGCCGCTGCCCGGGAAAAATTTCCCTCATAGCACACTGTATTAGTAAGTGCAGGGGGGGGGGGGACAGCACCACACAAAATTTTCACAAAAACAAATACACGGACAGGAAAACACAAACATACAGACAATTCAAAAAAAGTGAATGGATCCGGGGGCTAGCCGTAAGCGTCCACATGAGGGACGCCCGTCTTCATTACCCCAGTCGGAGCAGAACAGTAGGACGTTAAATCCCATTTCATTTCTATTAAGTACAGAATGAATAATAACAAGGTAATGCACTAGTCTTTTCTATTTTTCTCGTTTTCTCTTATCTCGTGACAGCCAATTCTATTTTTGAATTGTCAGATATCCCCTCATCGTCTCATATAACAACTTTTCAACTTCAACTGAATTATCAGTGTAATGAAACTGAACCGTTTGTCTGTTACTTCAGTCAGTTATATAGAAGGATAACTCGTGTTTGTCATTTTTGTCGTCACTTCCCGTTTCTTAAAGTGTTTGTTACGTATCTACCGTAGCAATGATCACTGTGCTAAAATTATATTTGGAATGTGTTTAACCAGTTCTGACACATATATAATAAATGCTGACACCAATAATATGTCCTTTAAA